TTTCATCATCTTGCCTCACAACATAGACGATCAGATACGCTAAAATTTCTGATTACTTAAGTAGAAATCCCCTATTCTGCAAGTTCTTTTGTGATTTAAAACGAATTGGCCCAACACGATGGGTCCCCTTTCTCGTTAACCAGCATTGCCTTGTTTTGCATTGGTGAAGTTGTGGTGCTTTTAATTGTGGATTGATCTCTAAGTAGGGCCCAAGTGCATGCATTCGAGGAAGAGTTGGTAAGAGACGGGGCATTGGCTTGACTCGCACGCCAATCCACTTGGCCTGGAGTAGGATGAATTTTGAAATGTCCACCCGGCATACGGGCAGTCCTCTAAGCGAATTATCGCATTATTTGTGGTTGTGTTTGTTCCACATGAGTGGCGGTCGCTCTGTTGGATCACTTGCTGTGTTATGTTCTGGACAGCTATCCAGTTGGCTCATCAAATTGGATTCATTTTGACGCTAGCTCTTTTCTTGAGGCCATTAATGCGCATTCGATAGCTTCTTTGGTGCATTGACTCACCAACCGTGGTAACTCCTCCCTGGTCATGCACGAAAGTAAGCTGTTGTTAATCTCTTCGCTCCCTACTCTCTTTCCTGTCTTGTCACAGACTTCTTTACAATGTTTATACTCCTTGAGTCCATCTTGAGGAGCCACATCCAAACGTACGCCAGTTCGTGCCAAGCTTTGTCAACACTTCAACTTATGGTGACCTCGTAATTCCACCTGCATTGTGCATTCACACAGGCTTTGATCAGAAGCAATGACAAAGGCTTACATGTGCGTTGGGAAAATCCAAAAATGTTGGCTACACTCTTTGTCGCCCTTCCAACTTCCCACACATGGACCACTTAAGTTAGCTGTTGTAAAAGGCGTAACCACTACCATAGCCCCATTATTCAGAGCAAAGTGTGTCGAGTGTTCCAACGTTTGGTTTAAAGCTCCCCTTACATTTTGTCTAACAGACATTTGCTTTTTTGTAAACATGTTGGGGAACAAACAGTATTATTATGAGCCACGATTTTGGGTGTCGCGCATAATTTACGTGGATGAAAATAAACCAATCTTTCCTACTATCCGATGTTGCGGATGTACAATTTGCTCGCCTGTTCTCACGCCCTTGAACCTCGGACTTGAAGAGAGAGCCAGATGCAGTAGCCTTACTAGGCTTGTACGCAGAAGGATCGGAAACAGTGAGTATGGATGAGCCGAAAAGCAGGTCTCACTCCGCGAAGGACTCCACACGATCTTCACGTACCACATTTGTGCTCGAATCGTTTCCCTCCCACGGTCACTTTTGCATTCCTTTTGCCATTGTACGCGTAAGCCGGAGTTTCGACAAGTAATTGCGTCAAGTTTGATTTTGAATCACCTAAGTAGGCTGGAGAAGTCAGTGGTTGTGGTGGTGGTGGTGCTGGTGGTGAATAGTGGCCACGAGACAGAAGCGTGCCTTATGATGAGTTTGAAGACTCTACATCCCGTAAGGACGACAGTTTCCTAAGGCCAATTGTAGTCCAGTGTGTAGTGTGTTGTGTGCTGAGAAAATGGAACCTATCACAGGACCTTCATTTTATTCGACATAAAACACTTACTGCCCTAAATACCAGCGTCCCCCTTGTTACCTCTCACTCAACGACGTAATGCTACCCACTACTACGCCATAGCAAAAACGCATATTTAAACCCCAGCTTTGTCGTTTAGCCCAACTTAATCAGGAAACATTCCAATACCCAGCTTACAGTTAATTTGCTTAGTGTTGGCCTTGGGTTCACATTTGCGCTCACTCTTCTTTCATATTGCCTTTTATGAAGTTGGATGTAGGCCATGTTGAATTCATAATTGTCGACCTTGATTTGTATGGGAATCCTTTTTTTCAAAATGTAAACGTCGTTGCAATTTATTTCCGTGATTACCTGTGTTTCAGTTGTCTGCCTCTGTTGTCCTCGCAAGTATGTCTCGCATAAGTACTTACGTACGGAAAATTTGTCTCGTTTCCGATCTCGCAATGCCTAAATAGTTTGAGGTGCTAACATTTACACTAATCTTTGTGGTTTTGACTTGAGAAGTACTGCCGCATTCTCATTCATTCGTCCTCTTGCAGCTGCGTGTTCTCGCTCTTGGCCTCTAGTACGACCGATTACCGTGCTTGTCACTAGCGCCAATTCTAATACCTCTCTTCAGCTATCCCCTAATATGTCTGCTCAAGCTGCACTAGCTTTCAGGCATGCGTGCTTCTGATCCAAGTAGAGGTGTGGTGTACTGTTTTATGCCTACAACTTGTTAACTGCATATACTTCTACGTCATGTTTGGCGTTTGTGCATTAGAAGGCGGATGCGCTGAAAAGCGTGATACGCTGAGTGTGTCGGGTCTTGTCTTCCTCTTGAACACCCGTTTGCTTCGTGGGAACTGTTGGTCTTGGGATGGTTAGCATGTGTCAGGAGATGTGGCAACTCTGCACATTAAGTGCACTTCACAGGTAAGTGTCGACTACTGCTGTCAGGATAGCGGTGGTGTTGGTCTGGACGTGTGATGTGGATGTATGTATGCCTTCCAC